GGTAGATTCGAACTGCTAACCTTGTGACTTGCAGCCCAACTTGTAACCCACTATGCTACCAGGGATCCTATGTAATACTTAAGTCTTAATAAGGCTTCAAACACCATTGTTCTTCAGAATCATACTAAATTATTTATTTATTAGCACTAAACATATACTAGTTTATGTGACTGACTGAGTTAGGTGCCGTCAAGTAGTGCCGTCAGAGTGACACTATGTGACAGAGTAGAACTGTCCCATAGGGTTTTCTAGGCTGTAATATTCATGGGAGCAGATTATCAGGTTTTTTTCTCCTGATGAGCCTCTCTGGGTGGGTTCAAACTACAGAGCTTTCAGTTAGCAACCAACTGCTAAATATATCACATGATTAGGAAATCACATGATAAAGGAAAGAGACTTCAATAAAAATATATGAACTACAGTGTGCTAGTAAATATTCTTTTACCTACAAGAAAAGGATGATTTTTGATCTAATGATACAATAATTCATTCACTCAGCTTTCACGCATAATGTTATCTTTGTTCAAAAAAAGCAAGGCACTTTTCCATCTATTTCTAAAGTTTGACTATAATGATCTCTTTCTTAAGTTAACATAGAGGGGAAACAAAACCCAAAACAGTTGCCATAGAGTCAATTCCAACATATGGTGGCTTCATGTGTATCATAGTAGAACTGTGCTCCATAGTGATCTTTTGCAAGTAGATTTCAAGGGGTTTCTTTAGAGGCATCTATGGGTGGAGTTTAATTTCCAACCTTTCAGTCGACAGATGAATGCTTAACTGTTAGTGCTACCCAGGGACCCCAAAGGGAATAAATATTAGAGGACGTGTCCAGGATGAAGTTAATAAATCTGTAAATGGTTTGAGTATACTTGTTATTAGTACTGCACATGCTATGGCCCTTCTTGACAAAACAAACTAAATAACTATCAGTTACGCCAATATATTACTCAAGAATCTTGGGTCAAATGAGAAGTGTTAGAACATCAATTATAAATGAGAAGTAAAGTGTAGACAGGAATAAAGATGAAGTGGCACTTATCAGGAATCTGAGTTCTTATTGGCTGGAGCCCAAACCGCCACTATAAAGGTGAAGCTAGAAAGTGTTAGAGTACTTCTATTTTATTCACGATTTGTTTTTTTCTCTCTTTATACATATGTTGTCAAACGGTTTGTATGACAAATACTACTACTACTTGAATTATACTGTCACCTTCAGATGCATTTTATTCCTGTCTTAATACTTATTTAATGAAACAATTCATTACTTCATGTTGTTCTTTAATCAAAAACCAATTATGAAAGTTACTATGACTAACATATAACCAAATACTAAGTAACAGAAAAAAAGAGAGATTTTAAGGGTTGATATGTAAAAGCAATTTTTCTATCAGTGATCATCAGAAATTCTGTACTATGCTAAAAATCAATTTTGATAATTAAATGCCATTTTGAAGTACTGATCTGAAGTGATCAACTGTGACATAAACTACAGATACAAGTTTTTCCTGATCTTAGTTGTGAAACATTTTTAATGGATTCCACCTTATCTATAAAAATACACCTTCAATTCTACAGTAGGTAGACACATGATATTTGCAGTTATACATAATATATTAATTCAGATTCTGGGTGTCTGGGTAGCATAGGGAAAATGGCATTGTACAGAAAAAGGTGGAAAAGCTTTTTGCAAACAATTATAATCACATAGTGTTTCTTTTCTCCCTCTTTCTTTACTGGTCAAAGATGGCCGTTTCCAATTTAGACATACATTTTTAAAGTGGCTTAAGAAACACTTCTACAGTATCAATAATAGCAATAATCTATGAATAGATACAAGGGGGCTTCAAAAAGTTCATGGAAAAAATCCATTATCTTTTAATTCCATTTTTCCATGAACTTATAGAAGCATCCTTGTACATAGGCATACATGAAAGCTGAACAGCTATGGGTAGGTGAATGGGACTATACCAACAACAGGTTTGGCAGAGGTTATTTCTACATAAATATTTTTATGTGCTATAAATATATCCATGAATATATTAGAATAAACAGGAAACAAAGTCATATAAACTTCTTAGCTATTACCAAATATCTTGAGGGACCACATTCTCAGAGGGCAGATGAGTCAATTGGCATAACAAAGTTCACAAAGACAACCTTCTCCACCCTTTTGCTTTGAATAGTGACTGGGGTCTTAAAAGCTAGTGAGTGGCCGTCTAAGATGGAACTGTTGGTCTCTCCCCATCTGGAGGAAAGAAGAGTGAAGAAAATCAAAGTCTCAGGAAACAATTAGTCCAAAAGATTAATGGATCATTGAACCACAGCCTCCACTACCCTGAGATTAGAAGAATTAGATAGTTCCTCGTTATCGCTACCTACTGTTCTGATCAGGACCACATAAGGTCCTGGACAGAAAAGTTGAAAAAATGTAGAACAAAATTCAAAATCATAAAAAAGACAAAACGTACTAGTTTGATAGAGACTGGTGGAATTTCTGAGATTGCGGTCCTTAGATATTTTTCAAACTTGGAACAGAAGTCACCATTGGAGATCATCTTGCAGCTAAACAACAGCTAGGTCCTTAAAATGAACAATAACACTTGTGTGGAATGTACTCCTCATAATAATCAACCATAAAAGACCAAAAGGTCAATATTTACCCAAAAACCAAGTTCAGAAAGCAGGAAGGGGTAAGAAAGGACAAATGGAAACGGGGAACCAATGGAGCAAGTGGGAAGAGTGGTGTCACACCGAAGGAATTACAATTAATTTACAAACCAGAATGCGTATAAGCTGTTAAACATAAAACTAATTTTCTCTGTAAACTTTCACCCAAATCACCAAAGAAAAAACACAAAAAAAATAACTTTGTGTGAAAATATGATTGTTTTCTTCACAAGTTTACGAACAAAAATAAAAAATAATAAAATATCATTCAGTCTCAGATACTCTGAATTTATCTTTAGCTCTACGATTTACAAATAATGCCTACCAACACCAAAACCCACTACCATTGAGTTGATTCTGACTCATAGAGACCCTATAGGACAGAGTAGAAGTGCTCCATAGGGCTTCCAAGACTGTAAATCTTTTGGTGATCATCTAGTGGATTTGAAACACTGACCTTTCAGTTAGCAGAAAAAGCTTAACCTACTGCACCACCAGAGCTTAATACTGCTTACATACAGGCATATACAAGTATTTGCTTGTGAATTAATGTGATAAAAAATTTAATTACATTGAAAATTCAAATTCTGGAAGAAAAAGAGGATAGTGCTCTCACTAATTTTAACTGTGAAGTACCCACATACCAACAAATTTGAAAATGTGTGGTGAATGTATAAAGTAAAAATATTTTGGTCTAAACACTTGTCTTTCCTCTTTCCTTAATAATATCCAAATATTTTAGAAAGATACACAAAAAAGAATTTAGAATATTTTGTCAATTATAAATAAATCACATATCTTCTTAGGTACACCTTTTCATTTAGCTCCATTTTCCAAAATAGAACATCAGAATTCCAGAATGGGGTTAGCAGTGGATTTAATGGGGGTCTAGGAACCTCTTGGGAGTCCTGGTGTGACATTGTTGATTAATGCGCTGGACTGCAAAGTCCACTTGAACCTCAAGGAGGGTGGTTCAAGCTCACCAACTGCTCCTAGGAATTCCTATGCTGAGTTGCTATGGGTCGTAACCTAATTCTAGGGCACTTAACAACAACAACAAAGGAACCTCCTGGAGTCCTAATGCAGCACTGAAGGATAATCACTGGGATGTCAGCATTTCAAACTCACCTGAGCTACTAAGCCACTCCTCAGAAACCCTATACAGGGTTGCTATGAGTCAAAACTGACTCGACTGGCACTTAACAGCAACAACAGGCACCTCCTGGGACATCTAAAATCTCAATATACTACTTAAAGGGCATAAGTGTGTATATTTTCAAGTGAAGAAAAGGATACATAAGGCAAAATAAATGCAGAATGGTGCAAGTGTGAAAAATGCCAGATGCCAAAGAAGTTCTTTTGGAGGTAGGAATAGGGGACAAAATGAGGATTATTGAATTAAATGAAGAAAACAAAAACAATAAGGTTCTTGGTTTCAGATGCAATGTAGACTATCAATTTCAATTTTAATCTAATTATTACAAAGGACAATCCTGCATTATATTCCTGACATTTTTAAACATACTTATTATGGCTTTGCCATAAAATGGCATGTCAATAGTCTATACATTCAAAAGGATGCTTAAAACTTCATTCATATTAAAATGTATGCAGAATTGTTAGTAATACATTAAAAGTAATATTACATTATGTAAACCATGGCATACCATATTTTACATTATGCAAAGAGACAATATTTACAATTCTTTAGGGAATTAAATACTTTATCCATTAACATGAGTGTTAATTTAGCAAAGTGCTATTATTTGAATGTTCTTTAAAAGTAGATTACAGCAAAAGCATTTCTAAAAACTACCAAAAGCTTATCTAAATGTATACAGTAAGGGATTACAAAGCATAATTAGCTTAGGGAAATAATGCATAATTAGAGATAGTATGAAAATTATAAAGCAGCATGCTAGAACAAGTTTACTTTTAAACATCAGCACTGATGTTTTATGTTTAGTGGCAACTATTATATATCCCCACACATACACACATTAGGATGTTTCAAAAAGTTTGTGGAAAAATTCCTTTATTTTTTAATTCCAATTATCCATGAACTTCTTGAAGCCCCACCGTATGTGTGTATGTTTTTGTGTATGTTTATTTAAAAATTAAGAGTACAAAACACAAACCTCATTTAACATAAAAAAGATGTGCAAATTTTCTTCTTGAACCAACACAAATAAAAGAGCAAGGAGAATATTCTATCATTACAAAGAATAATTTGAACAGAGCGAAAGGAGACCATCTTCATTCCAAAATCATCTACAAGGCACTAAGGGTAGGAAATGACAGGCAACACAGAAATGACTGAATAAAATTCCTCAGTCAGGTCGAAATATGGGATATTTTGGTACGAATTCTATTAGTATTACCTGAAAAATAAAAACAAACAATATATTGAAGAAGTAATTTTCATTTAATACAATTCATATGTAACTTAGAAAGTCTATAATCATTTCTTGCAATACTACATTTTGATTCTGTGCAATAAAGTAAAGGAAATGCATGAAATAAAATTATACGAAGAATTTACCACAAACTATTTTTAGGTTGGAAATGAAATTAAATTGGCAAGTATAACCACTTACTATGATGTTATTAAGTGCCATAGAGTCAGTTCCGGCTCATAATCTTTATGGGAGCAGAAATCCTCATTTCTCTCTCACAGAGTGGCTGGTAGGCTCAAACTGTTGACCTTGTGGTTCCCAGTTCAGTATTTATAATATGGAACCACTGCATTCCCCAACCACTTATTATAGCTAATAGTTACCATTGACTGTTGTACAATAAAGTATTTTTCTTAAGTTCATAAAAGTAAACACTATTGCATTATTGTTCATCGTCATTATGTGCCATGGAGTTGGCTCCAACTCATAGCGACCATGTACAGGGTATCCAAGACAGTAAATCTTTACTGCAGAAGAAAGCCTCATCTTTCTCCCGCGATGCCACTGGTAGTTTCGAACTGCTGACCATGAGATTAGCATTCCGACTTGTAACCACTACGCTACCAGAGCTCCTTAATACATTATCATGCCCTCCTTATTTTTAGGAAAGGGATTAAAAGTGTGTGTGGCACTGTGGGCTAATTCACCAGACTGCAAAGCCATTTGAAATGCAAGGTCGGCAGTTCAAGCTCACCAACTGTTCCTCGGAAACCCTATACAGGGTCTCTATGGATCGGAACTGACACGATGGCATTTCACAACAACTCAACAAATACAGATAACAGAAACAACAACATACAGTTAAGAAAATATACTTTTATCTATATCATATCTACACGTTTTTCAATTAAAGCAACAGCTGAAACTGGTTGATTATAACTAATTTTTATGAGTTATTAGTGAAAATAATAGTGTCCAAATGGACTGATAAGAACATTTTAATGAGAGATGTTTGTAGAAATAAGATTAAAAACTCAAGACATTTTGGACTGTTTTATTTATAGTGAATTTTAAATTGGTGGTCATTTGTACTTTTATTTCTAAAATTATTGAAGAGAGAGAGAGATTATTTTTATTACCAGATGCAAATAGAATGTTTTTTTTTTAAACATATATTACATGTCAGCAACTTGGGTGGATTTAACACTCTTTTGAATGCTAATTATGCTGAATTGATCACATTTAAATGTGAATCTATGCTTTATGACAAAGATCACAAAGCCTTCAGTAAAAAATATACAACCTATAGTTTCTTCACGCAAAGTTAAAGGTCAGAAAGAATATAAATAGGCAGAAGTGTAAAATTAATTCAGACATTAAAAGTCAAATATTTTTTGTAAATTTTTTACAAGATTATATTTTGAAATATTCTGTTCAAAAGTGTTTACTCCCATCACCATGTGCTAAGGTTTGAACCTGTGCTAAAAGGAGACTATAAACTTTTCTAAGCTCTGAAGCACTGCTAAGAGTCATGGTGTGGCGCTGTAGGCTAATGTGCTATACTGCAAAGTCAGTTTGAACCACAAGGTCGGCTGTTCAAGTTAACCAGCTACTTCTTAGAAACTGTATACAGTGACTATATGGATTGGAACCAAATCAATGGTACTTAACAACAACAACAACAAAACATTTCGAACTTTCAAGATATTTTGTTTATTACAAATTTAAAGATGAAAATCTCTGTAAACCTGCACGCAATTCACAATAAAATATTTAGGGGAAAAAAGTTCCAATAGGCCAAAGAGAAAAAAGGTAGAAAGAAAATCTTGGAATGATAAGAAGTAAAAAATGGCACTATTATGATGGAATCTAAATAATATAATGAAAAACAGCTGCATACTTACATACTCCATCATACTGCTAGTTTCACATTTCCTTTTAGTCAACTTCCAGTGCAAAGCAAGCTAAGAAAATAAAATTTATTAAGTATTTTC